TATATAAAATATGGTTATGGTATACTTAAGCCAGATGGGGAAATAACATTATTCCAGAAGAAGCTATAAAGAACATTACAAAGGCCAAGATCATTAAAAACCTTAGAGTTTTAGATAAAACATCAAAAAGCAAGACAAAGGCCAAGATAACTAGGTTCTTAAATCTAACTATAAATAAATAGCAATAATTAGTCTAATAATAATGTATTTGTAATTTATTAAATAAAGTACACCATTTTGTGTTTTTTTTTTAAAAAAAAAAGCTAAGATTTGTACAGATAGTGCTGCAGCAATTGCAGACCTTAAAAATGAGAAAAAAAATCAATTTACTAGGTAATGACTAAAAAGAAAAAATTACAATCTATTAGAGAATATTAAAAACATTATAGAGTTAAAAAATTTAGAAATAGATTGAAAAAAGAAGCCAAAATAGATAGTTTAGATAGAATAATAGAAATGACTTCTCAAGAGACTAGTATCTTAATTTATTGAAAAGAAAACATTATAGAAAATCTAACACAAAAGTTTATTAAAAAATTTTAGATCTACAAACAGAAGCTAAATAGGGTTTTTTATTAGTGATTAAAAAGATAAAACCATATGATAAAAAAAAAGTATATAATTGAACATACTTATAGAAAAAGATTAAAGACCAAAGTGGAAGCAGATGTACAAGCCAAAAAAAGAATATACAAATAGGAACTCTAATCAGATGTCTTAATAATAGATTACTATTACTAAAATCTTTAATATAACAAAGATCAGATCTTTACAAAAGTCTCTTTTGCATACTCTGCAATGAAGAAGAGAAAGAAAACCTAAAACATTTGGTGTCATTCAAGTATTATAAGAACAACTAAAAAAAAATAGAAGACCTATTGATTAATCTTGTATGAACTAAACTTTCAAGTGAAACACAAGTAATTATAAGCAAAAAGCAATTTAAGAAAATCTTTTGGCAAGTAAACAAACAAGAAAAAGAAGAAACAAGAATAGGAATAGTCAAATGTTTAGTTTATGAAAAAATAATTGAACAAATACAAAACATATTAAAGCTACTTAAGAAAACAAAAGATTTTTTAGACATAGTAACTAATATAACTTAGAATAAGTTTTATAAAAACATATAGAAAAGAAGATGTAAAGCTATTATCAAATAGAAAAAACTGATGAACATCAACTGGTTGTCAAAGTGAAGAAAACCAGAAAAAAATACAAAATTATCTAGTAAAGAGATGTATAGTCAATTAGAAAATTCAATTAGAATAAAAAGAAACTAAGCTGCTAAGGATATTAAAAAGTCAAAAGAGGTAAAAAGCATTAAAATAAAGGAAACATGACTTGGTTCAATTAAAAGTTATATAGAAAGTAAAGTAAGACTATTTTTATATGATCTTTTAGGCTAGTCTAGTACAGCTTATGAATCCAGATACTACTCTAACTGGTGTGGCAAACCATCTTTGAACACTTACCAAAGCAGCCAGAGAATGTTGAACCAGTAAATTAAGTTAAAATATGTATAAAATTGTAAATACAAATTTTTATAAAGGTTAATAGCAAGGCTGCCAAAGAGGAAAAAAATATATATATATATTATATAAGACTTTAAAACAAACCTATAATAGAATATGACAACCTAGTAAAATGATTAGGTTGTCAACTCTCTAAATGATAGGTTGGGTGTTCAAATTTTATTAACAATAAAAATTTGAATAATTATTTATATAATATTCATATTACAGCAACTGTTACTAATGATTGGGTTAGGCTATCTGTAATAGCAATTGCATTAGTATGATTAACAAATTATAAAGCATCTGTGTAACTTGTTATATAGAAAAATGCAAACTAGCATTAGGTGATACAAACTTCAAATATTCCTTGTAACTATATAAATCTGTTGAAATTGAATAACAAAAAGTTTATTTGAAAAGACCTAAGTAGAAAAGTAGTTAGATTTTTAATAGTTTTAATATAAAGACTAGTTTTAGAAAACAAATACTAAGGTCATAGTATCCAGTTCTAGTATTTGGATAGGCAAGAATCTCTGAGTTGAAAGTCTTAGAGTTATTACCAACTAGACTACTAAAACAAACTAAAGAAAAAAGATATTAGGTCAACTTAATATACTAATAAACTGGTTATAGTTTTATATAAATTATCTAAACTAGAAGTTTAAACAAAAGGTTGAACAAAAGGCAAGAGTATACTAAAGCACTGAGGGTATGCTATGAAGTAGATGCTAAGATCTGTATAAACTTTACAAAAGCATAGCAGTTAAATAATATAACTCTGATTACAAGTATTGATTCTATTATAGCAATACTAGATCAGCTATAAAAATGAATACAAAAGACTTAAAAGGTTTATCTCAAGAATAAAATAGTCCTAAAGTTGCAATGATGATCTGAGCATATAGGTATGATCTAGTAATATTAATACAGATTACAGGTTCAGAGTATTTAAAATAAAACATCTAAGCAAAAGTATTAAATATAACAATTGATAAAAAACCTTTAGATGAACTCCTTAAATAAGTAATATAAAAAAGTTATATATGTAGCTAATTGTATACTCTCTCATAATAGTTTACTAAATTACATTACCAAAAAAGTTGTTAATAAAAGTCAAAAGACCAAAGAAGTTACTTTAAAAAAAAATAAAAAATAACAAACCTATAATAAGACTACTAAGTATAAAAAACTAAGAAACTAAAAAGCTAGAAGCCTATTTAGAAAATTTTGAATAAAGAGATAATATAAAATTTTGATAGTACTATTAGATCAGTTGAAATTCACAAATATTTTTATAAAAATAGACAAATAAACTAAATACCAAAGATATATAAAAAAGCATATAACCTACTAGCTGCCAAAATTGTTAGAAAAAAAAGATGCTAAGATATATTATACCAGGTATTTGAATTAAAAATTTAAGGAGTTTTGTTAGTTATAAGTAGCAGTTTGTAAAAAATAATAAAGAAAATATCAAAAAGATGAATACTAAAGTTCTAGTAAACTTTACAAAAAGAAAAATAGTATAATGTAGTAGTTAAACAGATCATCTCTGTAACTATATATGTTAAAAACTATAACATGTTGTATAAAACTAAATCAGCATATATAGAACATAGCAGATTTTAGTAAGTTTTTTGTCAAGAATAAAATAGTTCTAAGAGTACCAATTAGCATTAGAAACCTGAATAGACAATGCTCTAAAAATTTTCTCATAATACAAGAAAATTGCATATACAAAAGGTTTAAATAAGCAAGACTTATAGTTGGCTTGCAGATATAGCATCTAGTATAAAATTTGTATAGTAATATATAAGTAAACTAATTAAATTAGATATCAAAAATACATATGTGACTAGTTGTAACCTCTAATATAAAGGAGCCTCTGAAGGCATCTATGTTTTACAAAAACTTAAATAAAAATATTGTTTTTTAAAGATAAAGACTTTAATTTTTAAAAAAATTATTTTATATAAATTAATAATTATTTAAACTAAGAAATCAAAAAGTTAGAAGCTTACTTAGAAATTTTTAAATAAAAAGATAGCATAAACTTTTAGCAATACATTTTGACTAATAAAAGCTTCAAAAGATTCTTTAAAAGAAATAGACAAATAAATCAGACAAAATATATAAAGAAAGCATATGTACTAATTAGACTATCAGATTTATTAGTAAAAAAGAATACCTAAGTATACTAAGCTAAATTATTTGTATTGGTAATTTGAAAAGTTTTTTTAGTCCTAAATAAGAAAAAGTTAAATAGAATAATATATTATAAAGATAGATATTAAGGTTTTAGTAAATTTTACAAGAATAGAAATAGTATAATATAACAGTTTAATAGATAATATCTGTGACTGCAAGTATTAGTTCAACTATAGCATATTGCATAAAACTAAGTTAGTTGTATATAAAACATAAAAAATTCTGGTTAGTTTTCTATTAAGAATAAAGTAGTTTTAAAAACTTTGAATATATTAAATACTTTAGATAAATATAGTTTTAAAGATGTTATTGTAATACAAGTTGAATTATATATACAGAAAGCTTAAATAAATAAGAACTATAGTTTGCTTGCAAGTATAGCATTTAGTATAGAAACTGTATAATAATATATAAGCAAACTATTTAAATTAAATACCAAAAGTACATATATAACTAGTTGTAATCTCCTATATATAAATGCTTTTAAAGGCATCTATATTTAAATTAACTTAAATAAAAATATCATTCTTCAAAAGCAAAAACTTTAACTTAAAAAAAATTTAATATAATATATAATTTGTAAAATAAAATATATTAAGTTTTTAAAATATAGTAATTCTAATATAATAATTAAAATGTTATTTTAAAATAGTAAGTTTATTATTTAAATTTTATTTATAATAAAATTTAAAAATTATATCTATATTATAATAATTGTTCTCTAATAATTAGTTAAATTTATATGTTTGTAATTTTAGGTATACCAAATTAGATTATACTTATTATTAAAAACTTAAAACATAAAACTCTAACTTTAGAATAAAAAAAAACTCTTTCTGGTTCATCTCTAGAAATTAAGCAAAAACTAAAATTTTAACAAAAATTAATATATTTTCATTTCAGAACTCTTATAGGGCAAGGGCCCTTATTCCAAATAAACACAAAACAATTTTTTTAAACATGAACAAGGCTTAACACAAAAAGCTCAGGCTTGACACAACAGTAGTAAAAACCTTTAACTTTACAAAAACTGAAAACAGTGAAAAAAAAACCCAAAAAGCAAGAAAAAACAGCAACAACTTTATTCAGGAAACCAACAACCTAACAGTTAACTATGCAATAGAAGGCACAGCTTGCTGGGTCAGTCAAGTAGAAGAAAATGAGTTTCATGAAACAAATAAAGAAAACATCAGCTTTTTAGACCAAAACAAAGCATGTAATAGTGCCAAAAAATCAACAAACCTACTTCAAGTAAACAACAAACAACAATGGAATCACATGCCTTCTGATGATAATCTTCGACACATGTCTGATAGCAACACATCAGAACACATGCAAGTTGATAAAAACATTGTCCAACCTCAGCAAAGTGCCACAAACAATGTGGCAACAACCTACAATAAGAAAGTCAACAACACAAAAGCTACTACTACAAAAAACACCAAACCTAAACAATGGTCAGACCTTTTTGCGAAGATTGAAGAAGGAAAAGCAATCTACACAAACTCCACCCCTAGGCAAAAAATTTATTCCAAAAACAACAATGCTCTAATTTTAGATATACAAAGTCTTAACAACATTACAACTAATGATATTATTACAGCCTTAGCCTCAAGTATCAGAGAAAACTTTCTAGCAGCCAAAATACATATATTCAGAAGAAAAAGAGCTTTTTTGGAAGTAGTTTTCAAAAACAATGAAAAAGTTCAGCTTTATGTCGCACTCTTCAAACAGTCACTTTTTGGATATATTCCAATAAACCTCAACTGTACCTTTCTTACAATAAAACTGAGAAACATGCCTTTAGGTGAATCTAAACACATCAGTAACCAAATCATAGAAGCCTTTCAAGATATAGGGCAAATTGCATCAGTCAAACCTCTCCTCTTCGAAGGGACCAATATCTGTTCAGATCAATGGTTAATCATATTCAAAACTACTGATAATCCAAATGTAGCTAAAAGAATCCCAAGAAATATATACATTAACTATCACAAAGTTACCACTGAATAGAAAGAAGCCTCTAAGGTCTGCTATTATTGTAACAAAGAAGGTCATATTAAAAAGAATTGTGAAGAACTTAAAATCTCAATAGAAACAAGATATCTTCTTAAAGAAGCTAAAGAGAAAAGGCCAAAGAACAAAAACTTGCAGCACCAGAACTGGAATTCTATGCAGACAACCCATATATCGATAACTCAATAGAATGGGCTCAAATAGAAAGACCTATAGAGGAATTAAATTTTCCACAATTCCAAACCTTTAATGACATGTGACCTTAGACAATTTGTCTCAAAACTTTAACAAAACTGCAACTTTTCCAACTGACATGCACGTCAAATCTTCAACCAAAGACTATTCCTTCGACTCAACCAAGAGTAAGACAAATGCTGACTTAACCTCTAATCCAATTACTATAAATACATCTTTAGAGTTAGATGAAGCAGAATTTACACTAGTTACCTCTAAAAATAAAAGAAATAAAAGCAAAAAGAAAAATCAGGACAGAACGGCTGATCCAAGCAAAAGCAAGAAGTTCCTCCAGTGAGGCAGCTTCAAGTTAGGTCACCCCTACTAAGAACCAACACACTTAGTATAACTATAAATACAAACTTAATTCTCATGATCAAAATTACTACACTGAATGTTAAAGGGCTTAATAACAAAGCCAAAGTACAAAAAACATTTTTTTTTTTTTTTTAAAAATATTAAAGTAAATACTTATGACCCAGGATTTTATTGATAGTACATTTAGCTAATGGTTGCATTACAACCACAGGGGGCAACCATGGAAAGAATGTACAACTAGCCACTTGTACAACTTTAGTCATTGTCTAATTTAAGTAGTCTTCCTAAAGGTTCTACACTAGCTGCCATACCTGGAACCCACTTGTAGGTTCCCTATTTAACCACTCTGTTCTCATATCCACCCACCTACCTACACCTACCAAGATGCCCTGGTCAATACTGGTTCAAATATGCCATGGTCACTAAGTCTTTAAAGCAGTTCACTCATATGGAAAACCTTTGACCTAGTACTAAACCTTCTAGAATCTTCTGTATCCCATTCTTACAGCTGACCTGGTATTGCTATGGCCGAGACCAACACTGGCAGTCAGGGCATACTATTAAACTGCTATGCTCTTGTAGAGTTCACCCCAACCCCGGTACTGACTTCACAACATATCCTTAATAGTTTGGTATTCAATTCAAGTTCCATCAAGCTGCTATTTCAGATAGCCCAGAAAGGTAGATTGAAACTATACATCTCTGGTTCACATGTTTGCCAGCATATGCACTTTTTCTCCAGAACTTAGAAATTCCGACAGCCTGGTTGGTTCATCTGGTCCCTCCTCAAAGACTAGCACATTTGCCCAGTTTCACAAGTTCTAGCTCTGTTTCATAAGTCTAGTCTTTATAGTAGTACCATCGAAGGTTCAGGTTACCTCTCTACTCAGGTTTTCCAAGTAGGCTTCCATCTTCTTATCTGGTTCTCATAATTTGCATAGTCTAAGGACTTATCTTAGGTTTATATCATCTGGTACCAGTTTGTGTTCCTTCATACAATGTTGCACAAATGCCTAGACCTTCCAGTTATGCTGGTATAACACAAGTTACAGATGTCTTATCCCAACCAATTACAGAAGACAGTTAGCCATAACACAAAAAGAATTGCAAATTTTCACCATCACTGGGATTTGAACTCTAGACCTGCCACTTGGGGGTTGACAACCTATCCACTTCACTAGGTCGCTACACCCCCGCTATTATTTATATTTAAGTATATAATAAATAAAAGTAGAAGTTGAAACTAGTTTTATTTTTATAAATTAGTTTTATTAACTTTTTAAAAATCACAACTGAATATAAATTAGTTATAATATATCTAGTTAAATTTGATTATCTGATTATAATAATCTTGTTAAATTTAATTAATCAGTTGTAATATAACTGATTAATTGGATTTAATCAGATTATTATAACTAATTAATTAGATTTAACTGAATTATTATACTCAGTTAAATTTATTATACATATAGATCAATAGATATATATTGCATTTAGATATATAATTACAGAGTATAATTTAAATACAAAAAAATACAAATATAAGCAATGTTGTAGTTGTAATAACTAATAATAGTAAAAGTAAGAATTTTAGATACAAAAATCAATAATCTGATGCAAATTAATTTTATATTTACTTGATATTTGACATTTTTTATTTATCTTCATAGGACTTTTTATTGGATTACTAGAACAATAATTGCTAATTGTCAAAAATGAGAAAATTTTAATTTTTTAATAATTGAATAATCTGATAATTTATTATATGATGTCTTGCAAACTTTTGTATAATTAGCTAATGTAAGTTGATTACTTATAGCATATATTAAAATGTTTCATAATATATTAATAACTATTTGTTAAATATTATATTTGTTTTTATTTTTAGTTTTAGTACAATTGTATTGTATAGTTACTTTATTTAATTAAAACTAAGTTTCATATATATAGAATGATAAATAGATATCATCAAATAAAAACCTGTTATTAGACTCAATTATATTTTGTACCAAACATAATTACTAATAAATTAAATAGATTTAGTTCAGTACAAAATACACATATAATTAAAAGTCTAATAGTAGGCTTTTCTTTATAGCATTTAAATAAAACAGCAGAGACTATTAATATTACAAATATATTAAAACTGTTATCAATTACAATTGAATCTAATATAAATAATTTAATTTATCAACAACTCTTCTCTATAGATCCTTCGATCAAAAATCGGTGAGAAGCAAAATGTAGAAAATATTGTAAAACATACTAAGAAGCAATACTGAGACCCTTAGCAAAAAAGAAAGAGTCACAAAAGTTACATTTAGCTAAAGAACAAAATACAAATAGAAAAGCTTAGTGGTAGCAAAGCTCAAAAAAATAAAAGTTTTTTTGACAAAAACAAAAATTTTTTGTAAAGTTTGGAGAATTCTTGTGATTTTGTTGTGCAGATTAATTAGGTTATACAGAAAATACAACAAAACAAGCAAGATAAACAAACAAGCATGTGTACAGAAATAGTCTATTAGAGCAAACACATGACATAGAGACAGCTATAATAAACCAACTGACGAATAAAACAACAACAATTAGTATAGAAAGAAATATATATGAAGTAAGACCTAGAAGCTTTTTAGAAAAGGTGTTGGAAAGATCAATAGCACAAAGCTTACAAAGAGTTGGCAATGCAGAGCTAGTCAAAATACTAAAAACAACAGATGTCATAGAAACAAGAATAAACAGATATATAGCATTACTGTTCATAGCAAATGTAGCAGATATAGCAGCAATAAGAGCATTAAGTGAAGCTATTGCATAGGTAAACAAAAAAAGTAAATTAATAGATTTTAGCTTTAAAATAGAGGATAGTTCACAACAGCAAAGAGAAAGAGAAATGAAAAATACAATCTAGACAGAAGAAATAGTCAAACAAAAGAAAATGAAGAAAGACAAAAATATAAAGAAGAATTCAAAAAATATGAACCATGTAAAGAACAGATAATAATAGATAAAAAACAAAGATATATAGTATAGGAACATAATATAAAAGAAGCAAAAAGAGACAAAAAAACTCTATAGCACATTTCAAGCCTAGTAGAAGCAGAAAAAAAAAGGAAAACAAAGAAGAAGAATTAATAATACTGCAAGAAAATGCAACAGAAATACCATTAGAGCAAAGCATCTGGGCACCAGACAATAGATCATGCAATAATGAAACACCAATAATAGCAAGAATTCTTGCCTATAATGTTCCAAGTGAAACAAAACCAAAAAGAATAGGCATAGTAAAATAAATGCAAATAGACATATTACAAAAATTGAAAAAGTCTTTGTAAAAGACAACAGTTGAATCGAAATATCATTTGATTGCAAAAGAGGAAAAGAAGAAGCAATTAATTGAATAAAGTGAAAAGGTGAAGGGTGGTTTAATTTGATTTCAGTCAAAATGCAAAACCAAGTAAAGAGTAAGAAAGAGCAAGATGAAGCAATGAATGAGTACAAAGTAAAGAATAAACAACAAAAAGAAAAATTTAAAGATCCAAAATAGAAAAAGCCTAAATAAAAAGAGACATAACAAAGCAAAATAGAAAAGCAAAAGAGACTAAAACAGAAGCAAAAAGATGGCAAACAGAAAGATTAGAAGAAGCAGAAACAACAAAATTCTTAAAAAAAACTGAAATATATGTGCAGAAGTATGAGAAATATGTATATAATATGAATCAAAAGATCACAATACAAAGCACTAGCAGTTATAGTAGCAGATTATGGAGAAAAGAAAGACAACATATAGGAATTACCTCTTGGCAACAATAAATTAGCAAGAGTAATAAAAGGAAATGAAGACTATATGCAAAAAGAGAAACAAAGTCAGTTTATAGTAAAATTACTAGACATTTCTAAAGGAGTATCAGAAATGCTTTTATTAAGATATCTAAGGAATAAGAAAGCAAAGGCAGTATATATACCATTCAACAGAAATAGAAACCAAAAAAAATTTGCAATAATCATCTTTACAAATGCTCAAGAAGCAGAGACAGCTCAAACAACGCCAATATGATACAACAACTATCAAGTAAGTTGGGAAAATCCTAGAAGAAAGAAAACTTATGAGAGAGAAGAGTCAAGAGGCAGAAGACAAGAAAGATCAAAGTCAAGCAATAAGAGGCAACTGAAATACAAAAAACAAGAAACATCAAGAGTCAGAGGCACAAAACATGAAACACTAACTAAGAGATATAGAGAAATAGAAAGTGATCCTTAGAACAAGATATAGAAGCATGATTAGGGAATAAAAACACAGACATAAAAGAAGAAGCAACAATAACAAAGAAGAAAAAAGCCAAAACAAATATACTAAATCAAGAAAGAGCATCATTAGTTAAAAATGTCTTGTGTCAAATATTAGAGAGACTAGATAAAATAGAAAAAATATAGCTGAAGATAAGAGAAGATCTAGCAGATTGCTCCTAAGAATGCCTTAGTTGAAGTTAGGAATACAGATGAGGAGATTGAAGCCTTTCTACAAGAGGAAAGAAAAATGTTTGAAGGAAAAAACAAGAAACATCTTCTTATCTAAGGAAAAGAAAGATGACCAAAAAGACTAACAATATGGAAGCAAAACAAAAACAACTGAAAGAAAAATGGAAAAAAAAGAAAAGAAATCAAAATAGCATGTCATAATATCAATGGCTTGAAAACAAAAGGTTGTAAA